TGGTGGCTCAGTGGCTAAGACGCTGAGCTTGTCGATCAGGAAGGTCGGCAGTTCAGCAGTTCGAGTCCCTAGGGTCGGGTAATGGAGTGAGCTCCAGTTACCTTGTCCCAGCTTCTGCCAACCTAGCCGTTCGAAAGCACGTAAAATTGCAAGTAGTAAAATAGGGACGACCTTTGGTGGGAAGGTAACAGCGTTCCATACGCCTTCACTGTTGAGTCATGCCGGCTAAATGACCACGGAGACGTCTTTGGCTCTTCGACTTTGTAACAGAGATGAGCACCGCCCCCTAGAGTTGGGAACGACTAGCACATATGTGCAAGGGGAACGTTTACCTTTACCTTAATGGAAGATAATACACTGATGATTGACAGTGATTGACATTATTGCATATATGTTTATAAGCACATGATTATAATGATTATGATGATGTTTACATTTTAACATTTTGGACACCTAGAAAACACACTGTTCAACGTAGAAATGGAATTTGTGATATAAAACAATTTTTTTTAAAAAAAGAGGGGGGAAAAAGGCTGCAGAAGGTTGCAAATTTTTGGCCACGGAACCTGTTCACTCTTCTCAGTTCATCTTAAGGCACTTGTGAAATTAATGCTTGAACTGGAGGAAGCCTCCCTTGGTACACCTCATTTCCTTCCCATCTTTGCATTTCCACACTACCGATACACACCAGAAAAAGCAAATAAACAAAGTGCTTCTTGATCTAACCCAATTACATCAATATTCCTTTGGAACGGCATTATTTTTTTTCCTGAGGCACCCAGGGACATTCGTAACCTCCTTTCCTCTCCCTCGCCACCCCTAAACTGAACACAATCATACATCACACCAAGATTGATTTTATGCAGTGTTTTGTCGTAATGCAGAAGAGGAGGAGGGGAAGAGAGACGCAAACAAAGAAAGAACGCGCAGTCTTTAGGAAAATCAATCCTAAAGAGAGGGAATTAATAGCCGGAATAGCGGAATAGCAGCCATAATAAAACCGCAACGTTCCAAGAACGAACAAACGCAGCGGACAATCCTTAAATGCAGAAATCACTCAGTAAGTTTCAGACAATTGGGAAATTCCAAACACAAGAAGAAAATAGGCTTATGGAAACAACAACAACAACAACTCAGCACATCCCTCTTGCAAAAGCCAAATTCCGAGAGAAAAGCAGAGTGATTTCACCTAATGGCAACGGTTGATAGTACATTGTTTTGACTTGAGGAATTGACGATTGATCGGTGTTGTGGTCCAGCAGGAGCCGTTGGGGCTGCCACCAGACTCCGACAGCGAGGGGCCCTATGAGTCGGCTTTGGAGGATGTGGAGGACCC